CTGGGTACTATTATGGCAGAACTGATAGCGGGAGCCCTACAAAGGGATAGGCAAGAAATATTACTGGAGATTGATGAGGTGTATCGAATTCACACGAGCTACGCTAGGTGTAATAGACTGCCACGAGAAGTCTGTATAAGATTTGCGAGAAAGTCAGAGATATAATTTATAAGATCACCCAATGATTTATAAGGATAAAGAAATACAAACACTAAAACAAGTTCCAAAGAAAGTAAGAGAGCAGAGAAGAGATTATAGGTTTCTCACAGCACAGCTAATTAAAAGAAATATACTATTTAGATGGTTAATCCCAGAAGGGATGTTGGTATCATGGAAGGAGAAAAAGATCAAGATAGATAATTTAGATAAGGTACGAGAATTCTATGATCAGTTGGAAGGGGTGGAAGAAGAGAGTAGTAGTAAAGAGGAATTAGAAGTCTAGAAGTCAGGAAGACGAACAACAGGAGTCAAAAGAAAGAGAACGAGAGATAGAAAGTAAGGTAGAAAAAGGACAAAGGAGAGAAGAAGGAGCGGGTTTGAGATCACGATGAATATACAAGTAGAACAATGGAAGAAGAAATTAGGTTAGTATTGATCAATATGAACGGATTAAATGCCCCTGCCAAAAGAAAACAAATATTAACAAAATTAGTAAAACAAGGTATAGATATAGCGTGCCTAGAAGAGGTACACATAAAAGAGCAACATAGGAAATGTTTGGAATTCCCAAAATTAGGAACACTATATACAGCATTAGCGGAACAAAAACAGAGGGGAATAGTGGTATTTATTAGGAAGGGAATAAAGGCTAAATTAAAATATCAAGATATAGATGGAAGAGTGTTAATGATAGAACTACAAATGAGCAGAAATTATGGTTGTTGGTGACAATTTATGCCCGAAATGAGAATCAAAAAGAATTTTACAGCAAACTACATGAAAAACTTATAGAAATAGGACAGGGAAATATTTGTATAGTAGGAGATTATAATGCGGTGGTGAACAAAAAAAAGGTTTATGTTACCAGTATGAAAAATAAAAAGAAACTAAAAATACTACCAGGGACATTTTTTGAGATGGTACATGAACTTAACTTATTTGATCAGTGGAGAAAATTGAATCAAAAAAAAAAGGGAATATACCTTTTTCTCGAACCCACACAAATCTTGGTCTTGGTTAGATATGGCATGGATGAATGGAGAGGTAGGAAAAGATATAGAAGCAATAGAAATAATGCCAAATATGTGGGCTGACCATAATCCCTTGAAAATAACTTGGAAAGGACAGAAAAAAGTTAGGAGAAGGTGGACACTGAATTCTCAAATTTTAAAGGACAAAGAATTTATTTCAAGGATTAGAAAAATGGAACTATTTTTTAAAGATAATAAAAGCAACAAACATCATTACCAATTATATGGGATACGGCTAAAGCATATCTAAGAGGTATAGCGATAGCTTATATAGCAAAAAAGAATAAGGAGAAAAGGCAAATGCAAAATACACTTCAGGAGGAGATTAAAAAATTACAAAGGGAGCCCCAGAATGAAAAAATTAAAAGGGAAATGGCTTTGGCTAAACATAAACTAAACATGGTGGATCAAGAGAAAATGGCAAGGGAACTGAAAGCGGCAAAACAAAATTTATAGGCAAGCCAGGAGGTGGCTTGCCTATAAATTAAAAAAAGATAGGGAAAAAAGATTGATTCAGGAATTACAAGATGAGAATGGAGAGTTACAGTATAAAATGGATGAAAAGAAAAAAATAATCCAGAACTACTTTGAGGTATTATATAAAAAAGAAGAAATAGATGAGAAGAATATAAAACAATATTTAAGAATTAATGGTTTGCCGGAATTAAAAGAAGAGCAGAGGGAAATATTAAATAAGGAATTAACAGCCACGGAATTAAGAAGAGCAGTGCAAAAACAAAAAAGTAACAAAACTCTGCGGCCGGATGGACTTCCAGGGGAGGTATATAAGAGCTTGTATGAGGATTTTGAAATGATATTACTAGAAGTGTATAATGATGTATTGGAGAAAGCTAAATTACCAGACTCCTGGACAGAAGCTTATATATCCCTTATTCCAAAAGAAGGTACAGACCCCAAACAGATAAAAAATTACAGGCCAATCTTGTTGCTGAATACAGATTACAAAAATTTTACTACTATAATTGCGGAAAGATTGAAATTAATATTAAATGAAATAATACATTTGGACCAAAATGGTTTCCTACCTACAAGGCAAATCAGGATCAATATGAGAACGGTGTTAAATGTCTTAGAGTACTATGAAGCACATTCTGAAAAACAGGTGGCATTAATATTTTTGGACACCCAGAAAGCATTCGATAATCTTAAATTTTGTTCCAACAGATTAAAGATATGAGATTTGGAGGGAAATTTGAGAAAACGATAAAGGCGATATATACGACACAAAAGGTTAGAGTGATAATCAATGGGGCTAATACAGAGAAATTTGAAATAAATAAAGGAGTAAGACAGGGATGTCCAATGTCACCTCTTCTTTTTATCTTGACGTTAGAAATGCTGCTAACCCAAATTAGACTTAATGGAGAGATAAAAGGACTAAAGATAAAGAAAGAAGAACACAAGACGCAGGCATTAGCGGATGATCTAGTGTTCTTCATAGAGGAGCCGCTAGAGACAGGAAACACCTTAATGAATGAAATAGAAAAATATGGGACAGTGGCAGGACTGAAAATTAATAGAGAAAAGACTAAAATGTTAGTAAAAAAATTAACTAAAAAACAAAAGACAGAATTAGAAAAAGATTTGGGATCGCAAATTAAAAAAAAGATTAAATATTTAGGAATTTGGCTTACTGTAAGGTGTTCCTCAATAAAAGATGATCATTACAAAAAATTGATACAACAAATGAAAAAAGATTTAGAGATTTGGGGAAAGTTACAGTTATCATTATTAGGAAGGATTTCAGTGATTAAAATAAACATATTGCCAAAATTATTATATTTATTCCAGACAGTCCCTGTAAAATTAGAGAAGAGATTTTTTGAAGAACTAAATAAAATAATTAAAAAAATTATCTGGCTGGGTAAGAAAGCACGGATAAATATTAAAACGCCAAAAGATAGTAGAAGCAGAGGTGGCTTTGAACTTCCAAAATGGGAAATTTATTATCAAGCAGCGGGGCTATTATGGATTAGGGACTGGATAAATTTAGACAACAAAAAGGTGTTAACAATTAAAGGACATAATTTACAGGCCAGTTAGCATGTCTTTCTATGGGATAAACGTAACAAGACATATGCATACTTTTACCGACATCAAATAAGCGTTGATATGGACATGAGAAAAGGTCAAAAGGAAACATTATAGGAAATCACCAAATTGGGTCTCGCCAATGGAGGCAACGATTTACCCGAATACATTGGATAAAAAAAAGATGATAAGATACAAAGAAGTATTAGAGTCAGGGGAATCTTAAATCAAAGGAAGAACTAAAAGAACAGGGAATAATTATAGATACAGTTGACATATAGAAAAGATATGGAAGTATATGGAATTCAAGGGGTACCTCTACAACTGGATAGAATATTGACAGGCAAGGAAGAATTTTTTTTTAACAAAAGCGTATAAATATTTATTAGAAGTAGAAATGGAAGAAGAAATAGTGAAAGGCTCGATGATAGCATGGGCACAGAATGTAGGCCGAAATATAAATTTATAAGAATGGGAAAAAGTATGGAACAAAAACTGCAGATTAACATTATTAATGGCATATAAAGAAAATCAGTACAAAATGCTTTATAGGTGGCATCTAACACCGGCTAGATTGGCCAAGATGTATACAAATATGAAACCGGATTGTTGGAAGTGTAAATATAAGGATAGAACATTCTATCACATGTGATGGCAATGTCCTAAAGCAAGGAAATACTGGGAACAGATAAGGAGATGGCTACAGGATATAACAGAACAAATTGAATTTAAAGCTGAATTATTTTTATTAGGAATAATTAATCAAAAGATAAAAAAACAACTCCAATATATTATTGTACACATAGTAACAGCAGCGCGTATTGTCTATGCGCAATGCTGGAAACTTGAAAATATACCAGCTAATCATATGATTATCCATAAGATATTAGAATGTGCCAAGATGTATAAGCTTACGCTAGAAATGAAAGGCAAGGAAGAAACAGAATTTTATGAGGTATGGGATAAGTAGTATAATTGGTTAGAACAGAGAAATAAAAATGTATAGCAATAAATGTAAATAACTGTAAGAGTTATATGACATAGTACTGTTTAAAAAAAGAAAAATATTTATCGTTTTGTAAATTGGAAAAATGAAAAATAAAAATTAAAAAAAAAGTATGTATTGTCAAGGCCATGGTTTTCCCAGTTGCAATGTATGGCTGTGAAAGTTGGACCATAAGAAAGGCTGAGCGCAAAAGAATTGAGGCCTTTGAACTATGATGCTGGAGAAGACTCCTGCGGGTCCCCTGGACTGCAAGGTGATCAAACCGGTCAGTCCTAGAGGAGATCAACCCTGACTGCTCTTTAGAAGGCCAGATCCTGAAGTTGAAACTCAAGTACTTTGGCCACCTAATGAGAAGGAAGGACTCACTGGAGAAGAGCCTAATGCTGGGAAAGATTGATGGCAATAGAAGAATGGGACGACAGAGAATGAGGTGGCTGGATGGAGTCACTGAAGCAGTAGGCGTGAGCTTAAATGGAAGATGGTAGAGGATAGGAAGGCCTGGAGGAACGCTGTCCATGGGGTCGTGATGGGTCGGACACGACTTCGCAACTAATAACAACAATAATACTTATGAGCATGAGGATTGTTCCAAGAAATGTTAGCATCCAAAGCCTGTATCTTAATTACTACTCTACAATCCCAAGATACTTCATAAAATATACTTTAGGGACACAAACGGTCATAGTAGTAAGATAAATTAATTTATATCTACCCAACTAGCTTTATCAGAAGGAACAATACTGTTTACTTACGAAACAAATTTTCCTACTTCCACTTGTAATATTGGTTCACATAATTGCACTTCCAAGAGCATATCTTCAGCTTGCACAGCATCTCCAGGTTTTATAGGATGTGGATTATAGATTCTAAGAAATCCCATATAACTGCCTACAATAATTTTATCTGAAATAAAAACATATTTATGAAGAACAATGAAACTTAAACAAATATCCATATTCAATTCCTTCTTTAATGTTCTAAGTAAACATGCCATAGATCCAAACTGTGCTTGTTTTATTTAAAATAAGTATCATTTACAATACATCTCTTCTCTATAATCTAAAGTATGCACAAATCTAGGTCCCCTAATATTTTATCCTCACCAAAACCAACCTATGTGTTAAGCTGGACTAAGAAATTATAACTGGGTTAAAAGTTCTAAGTGAGCTCCATGATTCAGAGATTTTATCCAGTCCCAGCCCAACACTAGCTATTTTCTTATAATTTAATTCTTTTAAGTTTAATAAGATGCATCTTACAATAAATAAATAAATTACAATTTCACATTGGATTGGAAGAACAGAATTTCAACATTTTAATCACACATTAAATGTAAAAATATCCACTTACCTTGTGCACTACTGCTATTGTCAACATTTGCAACACATAAACATCCTTGATCAAATTCTTCTTTATTGCCCACTATTGTAGACCACCATTCCCGGGCTTTAAATAAAGACATTCTCTGTCAGATCTAGTGGGGGGGAAAACAACTAGCATAAAAGCCTTATTATGAACTATTTTAAAAAATAATTCAGATCTCATCTAACATCTCAATTTAACAGAGAAAATATGAATATATTTTCCTTCAAAACATCACAATAAATACTTCTGATGGGAACCAAGTTCATCATTCACAATGCTTATGTAATCTAAGTATTAGTTGACATTTTAGTTGGCATCCCACAAATCAAAATCAAAATGTAAATTATACACATAGGATTGCAAATTTAGGAATAAAGATTGCAGTCCAGCAGAGTTTCAGTTCTATACTCTATCTCAACCATTAAACAAACTCAGGAAAATTTAAAGTAGTTTATGAGTTGGAAGATATAAATATCTATTCTAGCATATAAATAAATCCTTGAACTCCATGGAGATATTTCTGGATCAGAACCACAGAGATTATGTTATTTTCAAAGAAAAGAGTTGTATATATTGTACCAAGCTTTAACACAGACCATAAAAAACATCAGTTAGAGATTTCATTTTGCATTCTCTTTTACTAAATAAATACCCTCACAATAATATGGTACAAGAGATGAACATTATGCTGGCAGCTTAGTAACACAGTTACATAATTAAAGCATGATGCATCTTTTCATCTACAAAAGACTGAAATAACAAGGTTATCTAATTATTGTAAATTCTCCACAAGCCTGATTTGTTATTTTGCAATATTAGAATCCCAAATGGAAATCTATTTATCCAATGAACTCTCTTGCTCCTTTTTATTTTGCATTCCTCTAGAAAATTGTTTGCAAGGTGTTGTTTGATATGAAGTTATTTTCTAACTATTTAAAATGGGTTATTTGGACACCATCTTCTATATTTTTTCTCTTTTTCTGATACTAACAGTAGGGCTGTTCATACAGTGAAAGACCAGTGCACTTGTACATAGAAGTATCCAATGCCTTGGAGAAGCCCAAAGATTTGCAAAAAGGTATAACACAAAAAAAAAAAAAAAAATCCTAATGACCACAGAATACAGGTTGCCTTGTGAATATGAGAAAAGGAAAAAAGTAAGAATAGAACAGAGAATGGCTGACAGACCAGAACAAAAATATTTTATCAACCATTTCATTTATAATATGAAAATAATTATTCAATGCAATAATTATTCCTATCCAATTCCTATCAATGATAACAAACGTTTCCCTTTGATTTTTGTATTATTTATGTAGCTGTCCATTTTGCTAGTTGCAACTTTAAGTGGCAAACAAAAGATTAAAAACCAGCAAAACAAAAATGGGATTTAACAGGAATGCAGTTATATCCTGATCATTTAATTCCCTACCATAATTGGCTTCAGATTGTCCTTGTGACAGTAGCTAAGGAACTCAATTTGGTAGAATATAAATAGCCTGTACTAATGCCTACTTAAAGCTATCTGGTACAGTACAGTGTGTGGTGAAGAAGAAAATAAGTAATCCTTAGCTTGGCAATATCAAATGAGTATATTAATGCAATTTTTTAAGCATACATAAATAACATTACCTGCTATCTCAACATTTTTTAATCAATTACAAAATTTATGACAAAATTGTGCAAATGTTGCCACTTTCCACAAATAGTATAAAAGTTCTTTTAAGAGTATGCCTGTACTATTACTGTTCACTTGTAAATTTAAAAACAAAACACATTCTTTACAATATTCAGTACTATGGAGTTAGAATAGCATTAACAAAAGACTACCCCAAGAATATTGTGTTGATCCAGAAAACATTTATGAATGCATAAATGAACCCATGGAAAAAAGGATGTTTACATCAAATTATCTCCATGCAATCCAAATTTAAATATATTTCAAAGTAAGCATGCATAAAATAGCATGACTTACACTATATGACATCACAAGTTTGTTATTGCTCAGGTGAAAATTTGTAGACTATTATGCCATTGCAAACAATAACTCTTTCCATTGAGCTAAATTATGCCTATTTTATTGACTTACCCGACTTGTTCGGTAACTGATGAATCTTCCTTTTTTTCTTCACCTATGCTTCCTTACACAAATTTACAGTTACAGAGAAGGACAATTCCAAGAGCTGAAGCAGCCCATGCGTGTTACCAGAGAACTGAGCACTAGAGAGTCCCTTCTCGTATACTTTATGTCTTCTTGCTCTGTCAGAACGGTAATCTTTTAAGTGCAGCCCTTTTATGCCAGCATTACATGAGAAACCCATGAGAAATTAAGTAAGCAGAAAAGGCCATGGAGAACATAAAATCATATCTACTAAACAAAAAGGTAGATGAGCCTAATTACGCGTCAATGAGATGAAAAGCCACAGACACTAAGGAAGCCACTCCACACACCGCCATTTTTGTTGCCGTTGTCATAGTACCTCGACAAACCAACGTCTGCTCTGACCCCTCCCATTCTCAAGGAAATCCTCTTGGGCGGGAAGGCTGTAACCCCCGTTGAAATTTGCTGCCGGTGGGAGGAGTAATCTAGGCGGAAGAGTGCATGCTGGAAAATGTAGTCTTACCCCAGAAAGGGTAAGTAAGTGATGGACTAGCGGTAGATTGGATTGTACTACTAGGCATACAAAGAGAGAAATATCTATGAAAGGTGGAAGTATTCCTTCCCCGGCATCTTATTTTTAGGTTCAATTTTATAATATAAAGAGAGAAACGGAAGGCTTGTTCTGAATTAAAGTAACTAGAAAGACAAAAGAGAAACTACTGCACCCCGTTGTGAAGTAAGATAGTTTCGTCCACTGGCTCCGTCGGGCCGTTGCTAATAGTCTTACTAGTCGCTTGCTCAGATCAAATGAAGAACGTTTTTTAGGGTCAATCGCCGTTCCTCTTATAGACTATACACACTTCCTGGTAAGAAAAGGAGTGGAGCCTCTGAGGCAGAAGGAGACGGATTCACTTAACTTTCCCATTTAACGGCGCTTTGACGAAGGGACAGGGATACCACGACGATCCAGGACGGCAGGCAGCGGCGTGCAGGGCCTGAGAAACTTACTTTGTGGCTTGCCGGCAGTTCAGATTCTGACACCAAGCCAAAATTTCTGTTCGGTTCCGTTCCAAAGCTGGTGTGTAAGTGTGCCGCGATGGACAAGAGCGCCGTAGCCAAAATGGGAGCAGTGGCCAGCGCCAGTGTGTGCGCCCTGGTCGGGGGAGTAGTCCTGGCCCAATACATCTTCACTGTAAAGAAGAAAACGGGCAGGAAAACGAAGATTATAGAGATGGTAAGAACGCTTTAGGATTCTAAATGTTCAGTTTTGTGCCTTCCCTCCGGATGTCATCAAGACTTGCAGCCGAGCAAGCATGAAAATGAATGCTAACGAATAGAATTGGGGTAGGAGTATAAAATACTTAGGATTTGGCTATAGTCCTCTGAAAACGAATAAAATTGAGTTAATAATTCTTTGTTTACCAGTTGGAAATGATGCGGAAGGAAGTTGATAAATCAGACAGATGTAGCTGACTTAAGTTGATATAATTTAAGTGTATATATAGAATATATAGTTTGCAATCCAATGACATAGGGTATACACATAAGGCTTTGTTTGCACTTTTAATATTCATTTCCAGGTTATTCAATAAGCAAGTTTGTTGGCAGCCTGGAATTGTATTCATGAGACTGCACTAATATGACCATTATCACTTTTAATCAATGAAGAAATTATGTTAGTTCACTTGAGATTTTTATCTGAAGATATTTTGAGTAAGAAGTTATCAGATTGCTTTAGTCAATTACTGATAGACATCTGTCGCAAATTGCCAAAAGACACATGCTTTTATCACTTAATACACTATTAACTTAATTTACATTTTTTCATTACAGAGAGGAAAGTTAAAACTGCTGAATTACACTAAATATCAAGTTAGGCAATATCTATGGGATACTCACAAGCAGATATACTTGCAAAATAATTATTTTGTATTCTTTAATATAAGCGGGGATTCATTTATCATCTGAAAGTAGTCAGATACATATTACACTGAAATTCCAAAATTGACCGTATATGATTCCTTGAAAGCTAAGAATGAAACTAATAGGAAAGGCTGGGAAGCATGAAAGTATTTATCTATACAATTCAGTGGTGGTTGGGTTTGTACAACATACTGAACTGTAAACTAGTCCGTTATAGTTCAGTGTTATGGAACTGTAGCCAATGTACCTAGTATGTCATGAGAATCAAAAAATTGTATTCTAATATGGTTAAGATAATAATAGTGTGTTTATGATGAGATTTGTTGTTGCTAGTTGCAAAGTCGTGTCCGACCCATTGCAACCCCATGGACAATGTTCCTCCAGGTCTTCCTGTCCTCTACCATCTTATGATGAGATAGTAAGGTGCTAAATTGTATTTTAGATTAATAGTATAGGGCTCAAAAGTGGCCAGTCAAAATTTGAGCAATTTTTATGCACATAATTCTACTCGTAGTTCAATGAACAATGCATCCTTAACAGAATGTAATTAATTTTAATTCTTAATACCCAGCCATATGGATATTAATTCATCAACTATATACCAGTCCCAAGCCCAGATAAATTGGGAGGATTAGGGAAAGCAATGGTAAACTACCCTGTAAAAAAAAATCTCACCAGAATATTTTATGACGATAATTCAAGATGACTTATATGAATACCAACAACAGACCCTCCCAGGCTGAATAGTAGTCTGCAAGGTCCTGGAGAGGAACAAGGACTAGATTTTAGTAGTCAGGATTGTTATAATGTTGGAGGAAAGCCTTCGGGAAGCCCAACAACTGACAGTGCCCATGACAAAAGAAGCCAAAGTTATATCAAATTGGAATATGGAATCGTAGAGGCATGTTCCTGGGAAACTCAAAATTGTAAAAAGAGCAAACATAGATGTCCTTGGCATCCGTGAGTTACACTAGACATACAGTGGTCAATTCAAATCAGACAAATTTATGATTTATTTTTCTGAAAATGATATCAAACAAAAATGAATTGTATTTGTAATTGTAATGAAACAAGGGGCTAAAGGGATTGAGAATCACAAAGCATATAGTGATTGCATAAAATTTATCCAAATTTGAGGCAAGCCACTGAACATCACCATATTACAAATCTATGCTCCAACTATAGACTCAAATGATCGTGAAATTAAACTTTTTTTGCAGTGAACTTCATATGCTCTCAAGCAAATACCAAAAAAGGATTTTTTGTATGCTATGGGTGATTTCGATGCAAATGTAGGCCATGGAGAAGTTGCAAGAATAGTAGATAAATTTGGACTAAGTGAATGGAATGAATTTGGCAATCACCTAGTAGTGCAATTTTGCTAGGAAAATCATCTCAGCATAATGAACACATTTGTTCAACACAAGCAACATTTATACATGTGGACAGCACCAAATGGACAATATCAAAATCAAATAGATTTCATTTTATGCCAGCAATATTTGAAAGGTTCACTTGCATGTCTTAAAACACTTCCTGGCACTGATTGTAGCTCAGACCCTCAGCTATTAGTGTTAGCCACTAATAGCTCAAGTTATGCAAAGTGAAAAAAAGTGCTACGCCCTAAAAATTCAATGTGGATAGCATCTCACCTATGTACTCCATAGATTAAGAATAGGCTTGAAAGGAAACATCAAGATGAACAGTGATGAGGGATCCAAGATAACATCATGGAAATTTCTGGAAAGTATGTGTCATGCCCCAAACCAAAAAAAACAAACAAGTAACTATCTGATGACACCATCAAAATAGCTGATAAGTGTAGGGTGGCCAGAGCCAAAGGTAATGAGGATGAGGTTAAAAGACTGAATACAATTTTCCAATGAGAAGCCAGGAAAGATAGAAATAGGCAGTGGGAGAAGCAGTGGCATCGTCTGGAAGAACCTAACAGGAAGGGACGTACTAAGTCCATGTTTGCTGTAGTAAAAATGATTTAGTCTAGCTTTTTAGCATGGAAAGGAATGATTAAAGACTGCAACGGGAATGTACTAAGTGACCAGCAGAAGATCAAGAATAGATGGAAAGAATAGTCAGAAAGACCTTACAGCAGTTTGACTTACCATCAAGATGACAGTGATGACAGCCCAATTAATAAAGAACCAAATATCTTGAAAGAAGAAGTAAAATGTGCCATGGAGAAATTATTGAATTGGGAAGCCCCAGGTATTGATGAAATACTTGCAACATTACTAAAGCCAGTGCCAATTAACATCATTGCCTATATCTAGAGATATGGATTACATATCAGTGGCTTCAGGACCCAAAAAGATCCGTATTTTATCACCATTTTTATACAGTCTACTCTGAAGTGATCATGCAGAAAATAGATCTGTAACTACCTGAATTGGAAGTGAAGATTGGAGGTAGAACCATAAATAATTTGTGGTATACAGACAATACAATACTATTGGCTGAAAATAAGGAGGACCTAGAAAAAATAATCTGGAAAATCAAGGATGAAAGTGAAAAAGTAGGATTGAGTCTTAACTTTAAGAAAATGATAATGACAATAGCTGTAAATGGATATGAGATGCTTAAAATCAACAAGGAAGAAATTGAAGTAGTTCAAGAATTTATCTTCCTTGGATCAAAAATTGTTCAAGATGGCAGTTGTACACCTGAAATCAAATGCAAGATAACCTTAGGCCACACTGCAAAGGTTAGATGAATAAGATCTGAAAAATCAGAGATATTGATATAAATATAAAAATCAGGCTAGTTAGAGCAATAATCTATCCTAAAATAATGTATGAGTATGAGAATTGGACACTAAGAATGACTGAACAAAGAACAATTGACATCTTTGAACTGTGTTATTGGCAGTAAATTATTGCGAATACCATGAACAACTAACAGAGAGGTCCTGAATCACAGAAAACCAGAAACATCACTAGAGGCCAAAATCACAAGTCTATATCTGATTTACTTTGCCATTTCATCAGTGCAAATTCACTGGAGAAGTCAGTGATGCTAAGAATGGTTAGTGGATCAAGGAGAAGGGGCAAGCAAAAAAACTTGCTGGCTTGATACCATCAAAGCTGATATAAAGATGAACAACTAAAAGAAGCTGTGCTTGACAGGGTAGCATAGAGAGCACTTACCCATAAAGTCACCAAAAGTCAGACACGACTGAATAGTTAAAACTACTATAGGTAGTCCTCGAGTTACAAGTGTAATAGAGCTGTCCATTCCATTCATAACTCAAAAACTCGTAGAGTGAATCTCATTCCTTTATTGAGATTACTCTCTTGCTTGTTAAAATGCACACGGCTCGTTAAGTAAACATGAAGTATCTCCGTGGGGAAGGCCATGGAGGGCCTAGTGATGGAACAGGTCCCCAAGGCCTCCCCGATCCACTAAGATATCTCATGTTTTCCCCTCCCTTCCTGCTGTGTGGGACTCACC